TACAAGCCTAGCAACTGAAGCGAAAAGCTCGAGTGCGACCTTGAACTCAAGTTCCTTGATCTTCTCTCGGACGAGCTCTCTAATTCGAGGCCGGTGCTCAATTGTGGCAGGCGCGGCAACTTTTGGCATTGCCGGCACGGAAAACTTTTGGGAAGTGGCTGGAATGATTTCCCAAACATTGCCTACGAGCTTCGCAGTTGCAGGAGGGCATTGAGTTGCCTCAAGCCGGGCCGGTGAAGACTTCTTCTTTTTGCCCTTGCTGCCAGATGAAGATGCTGGCTTTTCCTCCTGCTCCTTGGCTGCTTTCTTTGCTTCTTCCTCGATAATCAACTTCCTATCTTGGGGTCCTAACATCTTCCACAATTCTGAGTCGATCCCCTCCGGACGCTTTGAACCTTTATAGTTACGTACAATCCGGTGACCATCCCAATGATGTCCATCTGGAATTATTTCACCTTTAGGGGTCAATTTGAGATCTGGAAATACGGGCGCTTCAGGTGCATCAGGCTCGACATCGCTGTCGGCTGGTAGAGGCGTACCTGGCTCGTATTCATACTCATCTTGTGGCGGATGCAACCTGGACTCAAGAGGCACAGCTTTGGGTGTCTGCGGAATGACCTGGTCCTCGAGGCGATCGGCTTTGGGTGCTTTCGAGTCAATCAGAGCTTTCAAAGGAAAGATGAAACCCTCGGATGGCAATTCCAACCTCTTTGTTCTTTGGATTGTCAGTGCACCCCAGTTGACATGATAATCTGCGGCTTCCAACTTGGCAACTAAGTATTCACCCTTCCAATCATGACCTGGTTGGATGTAATACCCAAGGAAAATTCCTTCGTTTGCTGTTGGGGAGAGCTTACCTGATGTGTTATCCAACCTCTTGGGGTTATTCCAGAATAACACTTTGGCACCAAATGGAATGTGCATTGCAGGGAACTCTTCACCAAACCTGAGTTGCCATGGGGAGTCACTGCCGTCAAGCTGGGGGCTTGCGTTGATCGCGGTCGCATGATGCTGCATGGCCAATGGCCACATCTTCAACGGAAGTCCTGATTGCAACAAGTTGCTCCGGGCACCTTCCAACATCTGACGAACTTCGCGCTCAGCAAAAGACTTTGATGAATCTACATATTCAATGGAAGTTTGGTGTCTGTAACCCAAATCCTTGATGGCCCTGATCAATTCTGGGGAATTGTCAGTGTACACAACTTGAACATCATCCTTTGATCCAATGAAGTGATTCAAACCATCAACACAGCTTTGTGAGTCCTTGGACTGGCTAGGGTAGACATACCGATATTGGGTGTGCAGATCTTTCAACACCAATGCGACTTGCTCCCCCCTGAAACCCTCTTCTACGTTTTTCTTGATGATGACATGATCCCCAATGACATGGTCACCGAACACTTCAGTTTCGATTCTCTTCTGACCACCTTTCTTTCGTGCCTGAGGTGCCATCATCCTTGCTCGTTGGCAGGTTCTGCAAAAGGGGTTCTTGGGGAAATGCGTGTATTGATGTTGGGTACTTGCAGCTTCAGCCAATAGATCCTCAGTCTTGCGGCTTCGGATGTACTCCTGCTGAGCGTCATCCTCCACATGCTCATCCAATTGCTCTTCATCTTGGGCTTCGTCCCGTTTGGCTTTTGAGCTCGACCGTGAGGTCGGCATTGCAAACAACTTTCTGAGGTGCTTATCCTTTTGAAATTGATCTTTGGGATAAACCTTGCAACTATCATCCAAAACTGGGACGTGACCTTCGATCTTGAGCTGGACGACCTTGTCATCTGGACGGACTAGGATTGGTTTGCCATTGGCAGGCCATACGAAACTGTAACCCTGATCTACACATCTCGTTCCTACGGAGAGCACAGCTGGGGTATGATCAAGTACATACGGGTGCACGGGATCTGGCAATGCGGACAACTTGACATCAGCAACCTCGTTTGCCTCGGTCGAACCATTGGCTGTGACTAAGGAAATCGGATGCTCGGCTGCACGGCAGTTCTTGGCACTAACATCCCTCAGCATTCCTTTGGACACAAGATCGGATTCACTACCTGAGTCGACAAGCCAACTAACACCGGCCTTTGGCGCGGCTGTGGCAATTGACGGGAATCGACCAATGTCTCTAAGGGCTTTGGGACCGCTAATGAACCTGCACTCTTTGCATGTGATGTCACGTGTGTCCTCATTCCAACAACAAAACCCACAACTAGGTGCAACATCTGAATCATGAAGTTTCACAGTTTCCTGAAGCTGTCTTGCACGAACCTGAGCCTCATGCTGTTCAACCTTGGATGAAACCGGAACATCTTCAGCTGTCTTGTACACCTCAGTAAACTCTCTTGGACGGTGCTTGACTGGGACTTGACGACCAACTGCCTTCACCTCGATCACATGTGGGGCCTTTCGGAATCTAAGGCGCTTCATGCTGACACTTGACTCATCGGAGCACGAAGTTGCCTTCGGCTGTTTTCGCACGATGCATGCAAACTTCTGGATCAAGCATGGAGCGGCTGTGGAATCCTTGCTCTTCTTTTTGGGAGCGGGTGAATTGGCCCTTTTGGTGTCTTTGGTGGCGGCAGCAGCTTTGTCATCATGCTTATAAAAACATTTGTCACCACGTCTGCACTTTCCCTGGGCATGATAGATACATGGGGTTTTGGCCATTTCTTCCTTGGACATTTTCTTCCCCTTATCATCTTTATTGCCCCTTGATGGTGAACGTGTTTTGGTTCTTCTGGGTGATTGAGTTCGAGATTTGTCATCCTTGACATGCTTAAATGGGCATTTCTTCCCCTTATCACAGGTACCCTTTTGGAACTTATAGCAAATCTTGTCACCTTTGCCACCTCGTTCCTGCGATCTACCACGACTTGGGGAGCCCTTTCGGCCACCGCGACCATCGCCTTTGGCAGGTGCGGCCTTCGTGTCCTTAATCCCAGCCTTGTTCTTCTCCGCGATGCGGTTCCTGTTCTCCCTCAATCGTTCGCGATCGATCAAGTTCTTCATGGATTGGTGAAGAAAACTATAAGACTTTTCATGGGATTTCTCATGAGCACGGTCAAACATCTCAATGTCATACTTCAGCAACTGACTTGGTCGGATCTGCCTCAACAAGATGTCCCTTAACACAGCATCATCGGGGGTGACAGCCATGCCAGCTAGGGTAGCATCCCATTTGTTGATGAATCTTCGGAGATCCTGGACAGTATCGCCTACTTTGACAACACCCAAAAGATCTTCTACTCTGTAAAGGCTACCTGCTTCTTCTGATGTCTTGAAGTAGTCCTCAAACATGAGCAGAACATACCTTCCCCTGACCTGGATGCCTTTTCGGGATTGCTGCTCCTTGAAATTCAAGATCCTAGTTGCGAGGTCCCCTCCGGCTGAGCGCGTGAGCGCTGCTGATAACTTTGTATCCAGCGTGAGGAACTTTCCAGGATCTTGGAGTTTCTTCTCCAACTGCTCTCTGGTGCACTCTTGATCGTACACCTCATTGAGCCAGAGCCACGCCTCATCCGGGCGATCTGAACAGCTTTTCACTTCATCCCTGACATGATTCTTCCAAGTCCTATACGACTCCGGAGCGGGCATGTTGTTCAGCTTGATGAGTTCGGCCTCCTTAGTTTTTGGCTTATCCTTTTCTTCCCTTTGGGTTAAGGCTTTCACCAATTCAATAAGATCTGAGGGACCCATAACTTGCTGTTGCTTGGTTACGCTCTTGGGGGAGTCATTTGGGGGAGTTTTGATAGCTTCAGTGGGAGTGAAAAACCCTGACTGCGTTGGCAATTGAGGCTGGTCGTTGCCGACAGCCGGCTTTTGCTTGGGACTGCCACCTTTGAGCAGCTCATCCAACTTGGCCTTTGCTTCTTGCGCCAACACTGCAGGCGTCTTCAACTCATGAATCGGCTCGTCACTGCCTTTGGCAGCCTGTGCATCGGATGCTTTGGGAGTGGCAATATTGAAGTGAGGCACGCTAGTGGTAGCGGCTGGCTCGGCATTCAGGGCGGATGCTCTCGGAACGGAGGCATGCTGCGCTTTGGCAACATGCTTTAACTGCTCCTGAAGGTCATCGATTTGGTCCTGAAGGCTAAGGTTCTGAGCCGCTGCCTCATTGATCTTGTCGGCCATCTCTTTCTTGTAGTTCTCGAACTCGGTCCTCAAACTGATGAACCTGGCCTGATCAATTGCAGCCTGATCTTCATATTGCTTCTTTGTGGCAGCTATGGCATTCTTTGCATGTTCAACTGTCTGTGCATAAGAAGCTTCGAATTCACTAGTGATACGTTGCCTTTCCTCTGCAATTTTCTGATCATGCTTTGCGTTTACCTCTGCCTTTACATCCTCTATTCTTTTGTCATTCGATGCCTGAGCCTGATTCAACCTGACCTCCATCTCATCGCCTCGTTTCCTCTCCTCGTTGACGGCACTAATGGCCTTACCTTCAATCTCCTGCAGCCTTTGCTCATACTCCTGCTCCTGCATTACGAGTCTACTTGGCCATTCGTTTCGAATTGAGTCAACTACTCCATGCATTATCTGAAGGTGCCTCTGTTCAGCTTCCCTCATGACTTGCAGGGTATTCCCACTAGTAATCTGGGACAGGTTGTTTTGTATGAAGGTAAAGTACGCGACAACGGGTTGGAACATTGTTTCGTCATCCATCGGCTCGGGGTTGCCCCCGGCCACATTGGGCACAGCGACAGCCGATGGACCTGACCCTGGAACGGCGAGAGGATGGTCAATTGGGGTCCCCATAGCAAAGTAGTGAGACTACGGCTGATAACCTGTAATTTAACAGGTCAGCCAACAATAGGGTAAAATACCTATAGTGGGACCTAAATGCCGCTCAGCTCTTGGCACTGTTTTGAACCAACGCTACAGAGTAGATCGATGATATATACACCACATGGTTTTACTGCAGGAGTTTTTACAGACTTTGAGGTACCTTATTTTCAGACAAAACCCCACATTGCCCTATGGATCTTTCGCCGTGCTGCGATGGTAGCACCAACCAAAGAGGTGAAAAATTCCGGTGCGGATCCACCCGCAGCCATCCAGGTTGCCTCGGTGATATGGGTCATGGCGATTCGCCCAGAAAAACATAGGGTAAATTCATAGGTAACAAACGACCCATCCCCAGATGATGAGATATATATCTTTAAAATCCTTTAGCCTCTGGTAAACATACAAAAAGCTATCGAAAATGGCCATAGAAATAGTGGATTTACCCATTAAAAATGGTGATTTTCCATAGTTTTTGGTAGGTTTACCAGAGGGTAAATGTTTCTGGAAAGATGAGTTCCTTCACCCATTTTTTTTGTCACAGTGCGAACAAGTCGCTCCAGCTACATCTGGAGTGAGGTCCCATGCTTCGCACAAGAGATCAATAGATCCCGCAAAGTAAACATCGCAAACTGTGTTCAATGCAAGCACCATGTAGGCCTCAAGTTGTGATTGTTGACAGTGACATGTAGTGAAACATGAACACATGGTATTGTGAAGGATGCACATGAAAAAAACTCAGACCATGGCCATACCAAGCACGTGGAAGATAGCAAGGAATTTTCGTTCTGCGGCGCCAGCGATGATAGCTGAAAAAGGTTAGATCAAAAGCTGCACACTCAGAAAAACACAGTCAACGACATGTTCAACATCTTTCAACAACATGGTGTTTGCGACTCATAGCATAGCCGCCGCATATCTTCCAATCAACACCCAACAGCCCAACAGCACATAACCAATCCTGCCGGCCCTGCCGGCCCTGCCACCCCTGGCCCTGGCCCTGCCTACCGGCTTAACGTTGAAGTAACTATTATTCTCGTAGTCTGTGGCTAGACCCAAGAGCAAATCCCGTGGATAGAAATTCGCCGGTTCCTCAACTGCAGCATCGCCGCAAGTGCTGGCAAAAAAGGAACTAAAAAAAGACATCCAACGATCAGATTCAGATGATTCAGCAGTTCTGCCAACATGTGTTTATATTTTATTAACAACATATTATATCAATTATATATATATACATGTATATACATATATATACATATATATACATATATATATACATATATATACATATATATACATATATATACATATATATACATATATACATATATATATATATATACATATATATATACATATATATATACATATATATATATACATATACATATATATACATATATATACATATATATAAATACATATATATACATATATATATATACATATATATATATACATATACATACATATATATATACATATATATATACATATACATATATACAGGGCACCCGCAGCTTGGGTAAGACATTTCGCGCCGACGCTGACGACGCATTGTGACGACACATTGGCGATGCCCCCCGGCCCCCCTGACGACGCATTGTGACGACACATTCCCTGACGACACATTGCCCCCTGACGACGCATTACCCCCTGACGACGCATTGTGACGACACATTCCCTGACGACGCATTGCCCCCTGACGACACATTACCCCCTGACGACGCATTGTGACGACACATTCCCTGACGACGCATTGCCCTCTGACGACGCATTACCCCCTGACGACGCATTCTGACGACACATTCCCTGACGACGCATTGCCCCCTGACGACGCATTGCCCCCTGACGACGCGTTGTGACGACACATTCCCTGACGACGCATTACTCCCTGACGACGCATTACCCCCTGACGACGCATTGTGACGACACATTCCCTGACGACGCATTGCCCCCTGACGACGCATTACCCGCTGACGACGCATTCTGACGACGCATTCCCTGACGACGCATTACCCCCTGACGACGCATTGTGACGACACATTCCCTGACGACGCATTGCCCCCTGACGACGCATTACCCCCTGACGACGCATTGTTGTGACGACACATTCCCTGACGACGCATTGCCCCCTGACGACGCATTGTGACGACACATTCCCTGACGACGCATTGCCCCCTGACAATTGCATTATACCCCCTGACGACGCATTGTGACGACACATTCCCTGACGACGCATTGCCCCCTGACAACGCATTACCCCCCTGACGACGCATTGTGTGTATATTATTGCCTGACGACACATTGCCTGTTGACAGGCTAGGCATGACGAGCAAGGACGCAGGCGTACTGTATTCTTTGTATGTGGGAAGATAAATAGAGGAATGTAGAGAGGAAGAGGAGCCGGAGGGCAGATAGGGATTTGGCCTGACCACCAAGGCTAGGTTATGTCGAAATATAAAGCGTATAGGTAATTATCAAGATCGTGTGGCGTGCTTTTGCAACCTCAGTTGAAGATCCTTGAGGCAAGGATCAATCATTAAGTTGAAGTAGTAGAACCTTATAGAACCTTCTTATCTTCTTACCAAACCCAAACGAAGAGAGCGCCGGAGTGTTCCAGGAGAAAGCTCGGGAAGTTCAATGAAAAAGTATTGAGCGTGTAGCATTGAGAACATGCGGGAGTTGAGCGCGTAACATCCAGAGCCTGCTGGAAGTTCCAAGGCTAAAAGCATAGCACAGGAGGCTAGCATCAAGAGAACGCTGGCAGTTCCAAGAGGAAGTCAAGAGCGTAGCACCAAGAGCGTGTTGGAAGTTCCAAGAGAAACCTAAGCGAGCAATACCAAGAGAGCGTGTTGAAGGACCAAGAAAAACCTAAGAGTCTAGCATCCAGAACGTGTTGGAGGTCAGAGCGTAGCATCAAGCGAAGAACAAAAGAGCGTAGCAACTAGAGCGTCCTGGCGTGTTCCAGAACAAAGCTAAGAGCGTAGCAGGAAGAGCGTGACTTTCTCCAGACCGCAGCGTCAAGAGGCGGAGCGTAGCACCAACAAGAGCGCGTTGGAAGTTCCAAGAAAAATTATAAGAGCGTATCATCACGATTGTGGTGGACCGTAGCGTCAACAGCATCTTGGACTGTTCCAAGACGAGGTTCAGCGCTTAGCATCAAGAGAGTGTCAGAGCCGGAGCCAAAAACGTAGCATCAAGAGCGTGTTTTAATTCAATGCGTCACAAAAAGAAGAAAAAATAGCGCGCCATGCTTCATGAGAAGCCAAGGGCGTAGCGTCAAGAGCGTGCTGGCACGTCCCAGGACAAGGCAAAGAGAAAGTGTTGGAAGATAAAACACACCAAGAGCGTGTTGGAAGTTCCAATAGACAGCTAAGAGCGTAGCATCAAGAGCTTGCCGAACTGGCCCAGGAGAAAGCTAAGAGATGCTCAGAGCGTAGCAGCAAAAGCGTGTCGGAAAACCCAAGATTAAGCCAAGAGCGTAGCACCAAGAGCTTGTTCGAACTTCCAAGAGAAAATTAGCATGGCATTCAAGAGGCGACTGTCTCCAGAGCGTAGCGTCAAGGGCGTGCTGAAACGCCTCAGGTGAAGGCCAAGAGCGTAGCATCAAAAGAATTTTCAAAATCTCAAAGAGCAAGCCCAGAGGCTATAGCATCCAGAGCATTTCGTTTGTTACTCTTCCCTTTCGTTTTGTCTTCCCTTCTGTTCCCTACGTCGCTCCTTCCGTTTTAACTTCTGCTCCGTTCGTTACTTCCTCCCCATTGTTTCATCTTATTCGTTCACCTCTTTCTCTCATTTAATGGCGTTCATTTCGCGAAGTCCGTCGTTTCGCTCAAATCTTCTGTCCTGTTCTTCCTGCTCTTCCTTTCCTGTCAACTCGTCCTTTTCATTGCGTCCGTCTTTTTGTTGCAACTCTTCCCTTCCATTCGTTGCTTCCTTCCTTTCGTTTCAACTCTTTGTAATCCCGTTCGCTGCTTCTTTCGTTTCAACTCTTCCCTTCTGTTCCCTATACGTCGTTCCTTCCGCTTTAAATCGGTTTAACATGCATGGTTTAACTCTTCCCTTCCGTTCGCTACTTCCTCCCCCTCGTTTCAACGCTTCCATCCTGTTCATTTACCTCTTCCTTTCATGTCAATGCGTTCATGTCGCTATTTCCTTCCCTTTTTCAAGTCTTACATGCGGTTTGTTTATCTCTTCCTTTTTTCCAAGTTGTTCATTTCGTTACCTCCTTCGTTATAGGTTTGCCAAAATAAAAACTAGATGCATATATGACATGCATGTAGGCTTTGAGTGTATGCATGCTTTTCTCCTTTTCTCCCAAGTCGTTGGTGAAAAAGTCGTCTTCGGGGGGCAATCCGTCTTCGGGGAATTCGTCTTCGGAATTCGTCTTCGGGGAAGAATTCGTCTTCGGGGGGCAATTCGTCTTCGGGGAATTCGTCTTCGCAATTCGTCTTCGGGGAAGAATTCGTCTTCGGGGGGCAATTCGTCTTCCGGGAATTCGTCTTCGTAATTCGTCTTCGGGTGGGAATTCGTCTTCGGGGGCAATTCGTCTTCAATTCGTCTTCGCAATTCGTCTTCGGGGGAATTCGTCTTCGGGGGGCAAATCGTCTTCGGGGAATTCGTCTTCGCAATTCGTCTTCGGGGGGGAATTCGTCTTCGAGGGGCAATTCGTCTTCGGGGCATTCGTCTTCGCAATTCGTCTTCGGGGGGGAATTCGTCTTCGGGGGGCAATTCGTCTTCGGGGAATTCGTCTTCGCAATTCGTCTTCGGGGGGGGATTCGTCTTCGGGGGGCAATTCGTCTTCGGGGAATTCGTCTTCGCAATTCGTCTTCGGGGGGGAATTCGTCTTCGGGGGGCAATTCGTCTTCGGGGAATTCGTCTTCGGAATCCATCTTCGGGTGGGAATTCGTCTTCGGGGGGCAATTCGTCTTCGGGGAATTCGTCTTCGTAATTCGTCTTCGGGTGGGAATTCGTCTTCGGGGGGCAATTCGTCTTCGGGGAATTCGTCTTCGTAATTCGTCTTCGGAATTCGTCTTCGTCTGCGGGTGGAAATGTCTTACCCGCACAGCGGGCGCAATGCATATATATATATATATCAATTACAGTTACAACATATATCAATTTCTGCCAAGCATCCGTTGTTGTAACTTCTATTTCCGTTGAATTTAACCTCCGTGCTTCGGCCGGCAAACCTGATGCGAGAAGGCAAGTTTCTCTGAGCAGTGGTGAAAAAACCCTCTGGTTGATACAGGGTTTATAAGTGGTTTAACAATGGTTTATGGTAGATATAACTATAATTAATGGGGGTTATAATGGTTTATAAACCAACTTACAACTGGGGGTCCCCATCCTGTAGTGAATTCCCCGTTCATTGTGATATTCCCACGAGGGCTTTTTAGATCGGTTCATTGTCTTACAATATGACACAATACGTTTTTATTAACCAGAATATTACACTAACCAATGATGATTGGTTCATTGTGATATTCCCCAGTGTATTGGTTAGTGTACCCTCTGGTAATTTAACATAGCTATTGAAAATGACCATTTATTATATAGTGGATTTTCCCATTGAAAATGGTGATTTTCCATAGCTATGTTAGTTTACCAGAGGGTAATCCCGGGAACGATCATCTTGCGACAGCTTGGTTTTTAGCAGCCACTCATCTTGCTGACTCAGCTTTAGCAGGTGGCCTTCGGCGCCAGACTCAGCCATATCCTGACAGACATCGTTTGCTCTAGCCTCTGGTAAACCTACAAAAAACTATGGAAAATCACCATTTTCAATGGGAAAATCCACTATAAATGGTCATTTTCAATGGGAAAATCCACTATTTCTATGGTCATTTTCAATAGCAAACTGTTAAATTACCAGAGGGTACTTGGTTGGAATGTTTGCTCCATCCAATTGGGGACTGCAAAAACATCTGAATATCATCATTGCAATCCCAATAATTGGATACCAAAAAAAACTTACTGGTGCTAAACGTAGGGAATGGATGGGAATGGGGGAATGGGATGATTATTGATGGTTATTGTGGATCATTCCCGAAAATTCCCTGCGTTTAACACCAGTAAGAAAAACATTGCATAGATGGTAGAGATATAGTACATAACATACTTACAGGAATGGCTATTGAAATGAAACAGATATGAATAGTACATGATGGTAGGTTTATAGGGTATTTCACCATTTGGTTTCGTCTGAAAATTGGAAAACCCCAAAGTTGCTGGTGTATTAAAATCATTTAACTCATAAAGAAATATCTATATATATATATATATGGGTGTGGGTCAAAAATAAAGACTTGGAAAACCAGAGGTTTTAGTCTATTTATTTATTTAGTCTATTTAATTATCTATTTAATTAGTCTATTTGATTATCCAATTAGGAAATAGTCTATTTAATCTATATAATATTTACTAACCATCCAACCACTCAATATCATCCAATTATGGAGCTATCCAATGACTGGTCCCATCCAAGTCATCCTGCATCAGGAATAAGAGCCCCATGGCAATGCCAAGGCCTCGGCGTGACATTTCAAAACGCTCCAAGGATAAACTGGGGAAACTGAAAAATATGACAATACTGTTCTTACATATTACATATAGATATGTATGTATGTATGTATGTATGTATGTATGTATGTATGTATGTATGTAATGATGTTGTCTGTATGTATTGTAGTATGTTAATGTATGTAGTATGTATGTATGTATGGTATGTATGTATGTATGTATGTATGTATGTATGTATGTATGTATGTATGTATATACATATCTATGTGTATATATATATGTGTGTGTATTATGAACATTGTACGCTATATAAAATATACATACACTATTCATTATGTACAACATTGCACGTATGTGTGTCTGTATTATATTAAATACATGACATCATATACATGAATAGCAATGTACTCATGATACATAACACTATCTGTAACTGTGTGATACTACAACTTGTGTATGATATAATGTATTGTCTGCGTACGTACATAAGAGGCACTTCAATGCGCATGATATTGTCTTCCTACAAACAAGTAAATGAAACTACAGCCCGGATGGATGTTTCCATAAATGGGGGTACCCAAAAATGGATGGCAAAAAAAGGACAATCCTACGAAAACTGATGATTTATGGGTATTCCTATTTTAGGAAACCACCAAATAGTGCCAAAACCTCCAAAAACGTCCAAAACAACATCTCCTCGGAAGGCCGGAGCCTGAGCCTTCTGAGCCTTCTGAGCCCCACGCCCAAGGCGGAGAAAAAAGTAATGTTGCGCCGTTCGCTTCTTGTCAGGGTTCGAGCTGCCTGTGGCTGAAATCGCAACTGCCATCCTTTTTTCTGGGTCTGAAACTGGGGTATACCCACGGTATACCATCAATATCCATCAATACAATACATGGCCATGTTAAGAAAAAGAATATCTGAGGAATATGACAATTAACCAGTGAGTTCGGGGCACACTGTCCACCAGATCTCCGCCTTGTTGAAACGCAAAAGGCCCATTCTTGATGACTTTCGGGAACGGACCTGCCAAGTTGTGGAACAAACATCAGCGTTCTTTTACATGGAAAGTGACCTCATTCACACTAATGCAGCTGAAGTCACCTGCCTAAAGGTTGTGCTTCGGGCATGCGAGCCCCAAGTCTAGAGGCGCTGATGCACTCCAACTTTGATGCTGTGATGCTGGGCTTTGAACTCCAACATGTCCAGTGCTTGGTGCTCCGAAATACCAAAGTTGCTGGTGA